CTCCCCTCACTAACATGTCCGTAACCCACATTTAATTTAACTGATCATCATCATCATCATCGTTACATCAACCTTCTCTCCATTCAAAGTTGCAAACCGCAACAATCGGCTGCAAACTTGCAGTCGAACTCAATCTCAAAAACTAAATCATCTCAATCATCATATTACAAGACATTTTGAATCCTTTGAGATTTACATTACTTGAAGCAATGACAAATGCTCAAATTTTACTCTCTTTTCGATTAAAGAAAATCTTATTGTTTCGTCGTCACTTTTGATCTTCGCTACATCTGCATCTATAGACTAAAGAGACGAAAACCTGATCTCTCGAAAGACTGCATTATTCTAATGATCACTAATATGAGAGCTATGCGATGAAAGAAATAGAAAAGGGCTGTTGCTGCGGTGTATGGCAAGAACAATTGAATCGAAAGGGCTGCATCTGACTGCATAATCGGGGGGGGGGGGCCTCCTGAACACCCAGCTAGTCTGAGCCGGTGTCACTTGTCAGAGGGGGCCCCCCAATCTCAACCATCAAAAGTCCATTCTTCGACGTTGCTTCTATTGCTGCTCTCGCGCGCACAAGAGTAAAGCACATGAGAGTCGCATGCCACCTGCCAGGGACTAGCACACAAAGGGCATCCCTTTTAGCAGCAAGCAAGCAACCCCTCCAACCAAAATACGCGCACATGCAGCTCGCTGCGAAAAGCGAAACGCACCCTTATGTAAGCAGAGATTTAAGGCGAAGGACCGGCTGCGGATGGTGGGCACGCGTATCCCGAAAATTGACCGTTACAGGATGTAAATCTCCGTCCTATTGTACATACTATTGCACATCTGCACGTGCCTGCATATACGTACGTACTAGCACATGCACATACACAAAACACACAACAAAATATCCACTTTGGGCGAACCCACCTCCTGCAAATAGAGGAAATTACTTGGCTTTCCATACAAATTCAACCCCATCCCATCACCGGTATACTTCGCTAGTTTACAAACAATTACAGAAACATTACACTTTGGCAAAACTTTACCAAATTGAACGAAAAAAACCTTTCAATTCTACAACAAAACAACTAATTTTATATGATATAATTTAAAATTACATATGTGATATTTGAAAATAACAATTGTCATACATTTTTGCATTTCAAAATAATATACTGAGTTGATGTTTGTATTATTTAAGAAGAATAATGTACTTATCAGTTGAAATAAATAGAAATACTATTACTTGCATTATATGAAATGTTAAACATAATAAAACTGTCTTAATTCACAACATCTATTCCGATTGTTACATTCAAAAAAATATTTGATTAATTACAAGCAACTTTGATATGAATATGAAATTATTTATAATTGTATTGAAGCAAATACTTCTAAATGTTGTGTACGGAATAAAAAAGAAAGAAATAATAATCGTATTGGCAAATTAGAAACGTTTAAGTATTATAACAGAATTAGTCGTGGTTCGAGAGAACTGGAGTAGCGGAGATTCCGTTTCCATGTTTTGAGATAAGAATGTATAACTGTTACACGCGTAAACACCGCGAGAATCAGACGTAGAATGAGATGGAAGGAAGGAAAGAAAGAAAGAAAAATATATAAAAGGAAGAAGTAAAAGTCCATTACGGCACGCTTAATTATTATTTCATTTTTAAACGGCTCCGATTCCAAATTAACACTTTCGATCTCGACCGGTGAGGTCACGACTTCGTGCCAGATCCGTCGTCTTTCATAATATACTACCACCACCACCTGTGTGTATATGTCGTATGCATATGGGGAGAGAATGAAAGAAAGAAAGAAATCGGAAACTCCAGATGTGGAAATCTCTGTGGAACACGGAAGGAAGTCGACCTTCCAGGTGGACTCTTTTTTTTTTTCTTCTCCTTCTTCTGTTTTTGTTTGCGTATTTCGACGAGGGGATCTCCCCGAATAAGAAGGTTAAAAAAGTGCATTGATGAAAGGAAGAAAGGAATATTAAGGGTTTCTGATTATTCCATAAATTATATGGCATATAACCTTTTCTTTCGGATCGACCACTTTACGGCCAAATTGCGAATCAGAATTCCTCGGGTCACGTTTAATCCGTCAACCAGTTGATACCGGCGTGCAGCTGCTCTGAACAATTGTTGCGTAATAGAAGCAAAAAAAAAGAAGGGTAAAGGATGGAAGAACAAATAATAATAAAGAAAAAAACGATAGGATACTAGATGTTACCAACTACTACTGCAAACTAAAATCTAATTAGACTCATCTAATTTCAAAGTGGATTAACATTAACAACATATCAATTCTCAATTGCAAATTTGTTTCCACAAATAATAATTTCCTCTGAAAAAGTATATAATGGCAATATTCACTTATTGTGACAATTTAAAAGAAATGAAATATTTCGTGTATTAAATAGAAAGGTTTCTTTGGTAAAGTTAAACGTTTGATTTGATCCTATTTATACGGAAAGATATGTCGTTTTGTATAAGTCTCAGGCATTCCTTTCGTCGCTTTTTATTGTGATCGATGATGGCTGCACGGAATTCCGGGAATCAAAGCTTACGTGGATTTTAGGTCTTCTTTCTTGTGTCGTGCGTCGCCTGCCATTGATATAAAATATATTATATAGTTTTTTTCTTTTCATTTCTTTTCTTTTCGCCGGTCGATCATCTCCGCTCAGTTTTTCCTTTTCTTTCGCGTTTAATACCTCTCATTGTTGTGTGTCGTTGCGGACACAATACGTCGACGGGCAACAGCAGAAGCAGCAGCAGCAGCTGTATTACTGCTACCCAAAAGCAAACCTTGTGCAGACTCTGAGGACAGGTGAGATGGTTCGATATGGACCTGCAGAATATGACCGACGACGACACATACATACACACATGAGACCCCCCTTTGCTTTGCGCCCTACCGGCTCTTTCAACTAAGTGGATGAAACGAGAGAGAAGTGTACGAAGGACCAACAAGAGGGAGAGAGAGAGAGCGAGAAAACCTTCTCTTCTATAAACGGGAGACCCCCATTCCCAAAATTCCTTACCCTCATACACAAAACAAGCACGCACCACAATCCGGCCCGACTCTAACGGATTCCAGCTTGCACAACTTTGTGCAAGGCAAAATGTGTACTCACATTCATTACTTATTTAATTGTCAAAATGCCACATAACCACTTTGATCTCTTGATACTACTTCTAGATTAGAATTTATTTAATTATTACATTTAACATAGATTCCTTACGATTCATATTGAATAAGAAAATAACGAATTGCATCATCTGCAATATACAAATGAAGAAGGTCGTGTATACGAAATGCCCGCAGCGCATCGTTGAATAATAATAATTTAAATAAATCACTTGGGGGTTTTTCGGCAACCGAATCTGAAAATAAATCAATTCCGGTAGGGTTATAAAAGAAAAAGAAAGAAAGAAAGAAACCTTCCTACCGTTTTTTAACCCATCGATTAAAATGCGCATTCATTAGTTAGCGAAGAATGCCGTCACAATGCACTTCCGAATGCTCGTCGTGGGGCGCCTTCCGAGTACTAATAATAATGATAATAAAAATGGAAATGAATCAGTGTGAGAAGTGATGAAAAGTTGTGGATGATCCGTGGGATATTCTAATCGAATCGAAGAGAGTAGAGAAAGAGAGCGAGAGAGAGCGAGAGAGAGACCGGTTTCAGAATCGATACGGATCTTTGATCGGATCTATCTAAAGCGGTTTGCATATGCTAATTATAATTATATGGGATCGGTTTTCGCTGCATTAATCGCAGTTCTGCATTGTTTATTAATGTGATCTTGAAATTCGAAGCATTTACGAATCCAGAGAGAGAGAAGAGAAGAAAAAAAAAAACACACACACACCTACTTCTCTTGAGGTTTTGTCTTATTGGATGTATATAACAATTGCTTACGCACTAAATCACTCCAAATGTTTATACAACTTGTATTAATTATTAATTTTCAATATCGTTTATTTAAAATAACATTAAAACTGATAGCGTTTGTTCAAATACAACTCATTTGGGAGTAGTAATATAGAATTTAGTATATTCTATACTGATAATTAAAGAATGAAGAGTACATTGTTTGGTGAATCATTGCATTGCAGCGTTCTTGAAATTTGAAACGTTTAGGAAGCAGTGAAGCACACCCTCTTCCTGTTTTTGAGGTGAAAGCCTTTCACTCGAGACGCGTGTCCTCCTCCTCCTCCTTCTTCTACTCCATCTATATGCTCACGTGTGCTAGCTATGCCTGTGTGTTTATTTGATCCTCCTACAATCTCCGAAGGCTCTTTCTTCTTCATCGCCATCGTCTTCTTCTCCTTCATCCCCTTGCGCCTTGCGTCTCCCCCAACATATACATTTCTATATAGTATAGGCTCGTGCATGGTTTTCTACGAAAGACTTCACGCATCTGCCAAAGCGATTGCCTCCCCCGAAGGGCACCTATTATGTTCATCGCCTTCCTCCTTCCTTACGAAAAAGAAGAAAAGAAAAAAAACAATAAAGTGAAGGCCCCCATAAATCACGGACGCGACGCCGTGTAATTTGACGCAATCACCGCTTCTAAAATTATCTAATAATAATAAGAAGAACGTTAATTGGTGTGATGCACAAAGTAGACGTGTATTCGTTTACCGGTTATTAACTGTTTAACACCTTTCTTCGCCACCCTTTCGTTGCGTAATCGCCGACTGGCCGGCATTTCACGTGTATAATTATATTGTTAGCGGCTTTTGGCGAAATTACCGGGTGCAACTCCCGAGTCCCAAGAAGGAAAAACAAAAATGGGCAGACGTAATTTTATGGTAGCCGAAAAACACGAAACAATTAATCCCCTACAAAAAGTGTAGAGGAAAGGAAAATTGTTCTTATCCAATCCGTCTTCGGCGAATGATTATACACATTTTCATCTCGTGACATTGAGAAGGCGCCGATTAATTAAACATTGAAATTTATTCGGAAACGCCGCTTACATAGTGGAATCTCGTCAATCCAGTTTTATCTGTTTAGTATTTAGTTGGAAACGACTTGGAAACGAACAGTCGCAATCCGATCATGTCTTCCAACGCCGAACTCAGCATCCACGACAGGGCGATTCTCAATTGCGTCTTCAATCCGAGTCTTCCCTTGGACGAGGCCTACAACCAAGAGGAACTCAACAATGTCCTGAAAGGTAACAAAGAGGAATCCTTCTCTTTTCTTTTTGTCTGTGTGTGTGTGTGTGTTTGCCTCCGAGTAAAAGTGTTTCAACAGATGGTTTCCGCTGTGGCACACTTTGGCCAAAAACCATTAAATGCTGCTGCTACCTTTTTCCAGACGACGCCGAGGATTTCGGCCCTCAGACCGAGCGAATCAAAGCCAACGAATTGGAGGCAATCCGAAGGGCAGAAAACAAAGAATTCTCCGGTGCATTGGATCTGCTCAACGAATCCATTCAAACCATTCCGAAGAAAGCGTCTCTCTACAACAACAGAGCCCAAGTATATCAATTCCAAGGCAAATTCGATGGTAAAACGAGAGAATATTTAATATATAATAATTTTAACAATTTCTTCTCCTCCAAGACGCTTTAAACGATCTAAGTAAAGCCATCGAACTGGCCGGAGACGATCAGAAGAAAACCCTTTGTCAAGCGTTGAGTCAGAGAGGTTTGCTTCATCGTAAAAATGACAATTTGGACGAAGCCCGAGAGGATTTCGAGAGGGCTGCTCAATTGGGCAGCAAATTCGCTAGATCTCAAGTAAGAATTCATGAAGATTTTTCAAATTTTTAATTAATTTCCCACGACATCCTCATTTACAGTTGGTCGAGATAAATCCGTACGCAGCCTTGTGCAATCAAATGTTGCGAAAAGTTATGGACGAATTCAAATAATCGAATTAATACTGGTTTAGGGATTTAGAATTGTTAATTAATAAATATTGTTTATTGAAGTTTAATATTTTCTCATTTCTTCCACCAATGATAAATTAAAGATTTTCTTTTTCAATTTATTATTGAAGATTTATATCGTGTTTATCGGCCCACATAAATTTAGTTGGTTTTTGAGGAACGAACCAACGACCTTTCGTATCGGATTTTCATGATACAGGTGTGATACATTAGACTTTTATTATAGGCAACCAGTAATTCAGGTTTATTAACTTCGTTTTAGTTATTTCTTTAATTAAACCTAGCACTAAAACAGTATAATAGAATATACTGTTTAAAGCTTATTTCTTAAAATATTTGTATTTTCGAAGATATTCTCACTTTTAATCACGTTAAAGATTGTTTTTTTTAAATTAGAAGATTAAAAGATTTTCATTGCTTTGTCGGTTGCCTGATGGTGGCTGTCAAAGGGGCACAGTTTGAAGATGGCGTCCAACCAAAGGGCGTTTGCACATAAACTGTCCAAGTAAGTTTCTTAATTTAAACAATTAATAGTGATAAATCGATGAATTACTAATGATTTTTCTCTTCTATTAGGACGCACGCTGCGGATGTGCGTCGAAATGTTGCGAAAGGAGGACTGGTTTCGCCATCATCCACATCGGTAAGTTTACCCATTCTTCGCAAATTTGTTTATTTACAAAACAAAAACAAATCGAATATGCATTCTTGGATATTTTTCAATAGCAATTTGCTATTACATATCAAGGATTGTTTTCAATATCAGTACTTTGATTAAGAGATGAATCACACTGCTGACTCAAAGATTATTGAGAAAATCCCATTGGTATTCATCATGCATCATATATTAAATTTTAGAATTTCAAATTAAATTTGTTTTTGGACATATCCTCTTGATTATTATTATTAATAGTATTTGTACATTTCTTTTTAGAGTTGGGCAAGTGACTTGATAGATCCAATTGAATTTGAGGATTTCCTCTCACAATACCAATTGCTTGTGGATAGAGATCCGCTAAGATCAATATTGGATATCCCACCTGGCGATGTCAACATTGATGTTATCCAAAGACCTATAAGGACATTGAAACCAATAGTTCCAGAAGAGCCAATGTAAATATATAATTGATTGAACTTGGAAGACCTTCAATTCCTATTGATTGAGTGATGATGCAGCAGGAAATTTATTGATTTTCCTTTTTTAGAGACAATCTGTCGCCTCACGTGCAAGCCTGTGTAAGATGTTACACGTCCGATTGGCAGGTGATCAGGTATCAGCATAGAAATCTGAGCAGCAGCGTTGGAAACCGAGCAAGTATAGCGAGACCTAACCAGTCCAGTCCCAGACAGGAGTTTGAGACTGATTTTCAAGGGGCACCATCGGAAACATGCAGCGAATACGATATACTCTCGCCGACGAACAGCAGCAGACACAGTGTCATCTCGCTGTCTTCTCTTTCGTCGTGCGGAGATACATTGACTCCAAGAAATTCCTGGGCTTCGTTGGATTTGAGGCAATTTGCGGGCGATCCTTTGATACCTGAAATTCTCGAGCACGCAGCTCCGGAAGCGTTGGATCAATTAAACGAAAGCAGAAGACAGGTGGAACGACAGGAAGCTTTGCTGACGCTGTATCCTCAAATCGACAATGAGGAACCAATTGAAAGGCGATTGCCTGCAGCTTCGCCTATCGAGCATTTAGGCCATAGGATTTTAATAAAATGTCTGCAATTAACGTGAGTTCTCATAATAATTATTTGAAAATATTCATATTTTCTAATTTGCTTATTTCAGATTGGATATAGAAGTTGAACCTCTGTTCGCTTCCATGGCTTTATATGATGCGAAAGAGAAGAAAAAAGTTTCTGAAACTTTTTATTTCGATTTGAATCCGGAGGGATTGAAACGGATGCTCGGTGGACATATCCCGTACAGCGATACAAGCACCATGGCCAGAGGTTGCATCATCGACATTACCCAACCGTCGGCGGATCTGTTCATAGTGGTGCGCTTGGAGAAAGTTCTGCAAGGCGATTTGAATGAATGCATCGAACCGTACATGAAAGATGATAAAGTAAGATATTGCGAAATGTTAAGTTCACCGATGTTAATCGTTTTTTTTTTCTTTCTTTCTTTCTAGAATCGAGATAGGACCAAGGCTACGGCGGTGGCCGTGTGCGAACGCCTGGGGAAATACAGACAGGCTTTCGCTTGGACGGCAATTTACTTGATGAACGTGATCAATGGATGCAGCACTACGGATCGAGAACATGAAAGGGAGTATGCGGGTTCCACGTCGAACACGAACAGCTTGGATCGAAAGTCTTCGAGCGGAGGTTTGGAGCAGCTGAGGAGAAGAGCCCAGGATATGGGAACACTGACGAGACGCGGATCTCTGGAGAGGCGCGAGAAGAGGAGGTCCTGGTCTCCAGATCATTTGGCCAATACGTTGGACAGCTTCAAACCTATAACGCTGACGTTTTCCACGTTTTTCAAGCAAGAGGGAGAGAAGTTGCGCGACGAGGATCTGTACAAATTTCTGTTGGAGCTGAAACGACCCAACCTGAACATCAAGAAGCTGAAGTGCATTCCGGCCACCTTGAAGCTGGACATTTCGCCGTGTCCTCACGAGATTAAAAATTGCCTGACCACGGATTTGGCCAAGATATATCCGCATGTGGATGAGAAGACCAGACCGATCAAGGAGTTGCTCGAGTTTCCGGTGAAGAAACTGCTGATACCGCATTACACGTACAGGAATCTGCTGTTCATAAGCCCCAAAGAGTTGAACTTTTCCAACAGGACCGGATCTGCTAGGAATTTGGCGGTGAGAGTTCAGCTAATGGCTGGGGAAGGAGAACAGCACGCCCTTAACAACATCTTCGGAAAGTCTAGTTGCCCGGAGATGGCAAACGAAGCGTACACCGCAGTCACATATCACAGTAAAACGCCACTGTTCTATGACGAAATTAAGATCAAATTACCAGGAGATATCGCTAACAATCATCATCTGTTGTTCACGTTCTACCACATATCGTGCCAGAAGAAGATGGAGCAAGTTTCTGTGGACACCCCTGTCGGATATACGGTAAATTAACTTTGGTCTTTGCAAATTACAACAACTAAGTACTAAAACGATTTTTCAGTGGTTACCTTTGATGCGTGATCGTAAGCTGGTTAATGGCGAGTTCTGCCTTCCGGTGATGCTAGATCCTCCTCCTGTGAACTACAGTTATATCCCAGCAGATGTCTGCCTTCCCGGAACGAAATGGCTTGACAACCATAAGGGTCTCTTCACGGTAAGTATTGATGCCCAATCGTCGGTGCACACGCACGATCAATCCATCGAGAGATTCTTGTACGCCTACAACTGCGGCATGACCGGTACCATCCCAGTCAGATACGGTGAAGCTGGATTCGAAGAAGAATTAAGGTAAATGAGAAACAGTTTATTTCTTGTTCAGAAATGCATCATAAGTATTTTTTCATTCGCAGACACTCCATTACTGGTTTGGCTGGAGCCAGGCCTGAATCGATCATACAAAATCTCCCGGTGATCTTCGACAGTATTATTCAATTGATCATGCAACCTCCGAGAATCTCCGGAGTGGACCTCTTGAAAATCGAGAACGTGTCATTCGAAGCGCTGTGTTTATTGCTAGAAAATATATCGGTAAGTAATAGTATAAATCTAACACGTCATGTGATATAATATTGTTTTTTATTTTTTAATTTAGAATTTGGAGGATTTGCAAACGGATCAGCATGGGAGAAACGGATTCCTTTCCACATACATCCAATTCCAATGCAACATTCCTCATCCGCTCTACGCGAGTAACGAAAGTTCTCCAGTTTACGAGCGAGGAGCACCTTTGGCACGTAGCAATTCAAATCCGGATATTGAGGTAGCCTACATGTCACCAAGGAACCTGGACAGAGTTGCGAGTATGAGGGGTGCGAACGTCGAGGTCACCGCCAACATAAACTCGTGCATCCTGCATCAGAAATTGGCTTTGCAGTGGGTGGTATCCACTGGTAGACCCAAAGACTTGAGCATGGAGAACGCTTGGTTCCTCTTCGATTTGATCAACAAGAGCATGGTCGAACACCTAGCCAGGACCGGGAATTTGGAGACTCCTCGTCGCTTGCGCTTCAACGAGCATTTCCTTGATGATATTACCACGATCGTGAAGAGCGTCACCACCGAGATTATCGCACATTCTACCGGAGAGGTATCGCGCGCTCATAAGATCAACTCTGCTTTGGCGTTCTTCCTCTTTGATCTGTTTTCCATCGCAGATCGTGGATACGTTATGCAACTGCTGCGTTCATACATGAAACAGGTGCAGACGAAGATATCGTTGATTCCCGATCCATCCGCGCTCTTCGAGTTGAAGCTGCAGTTAGTGCGGATCGTCTGCAGCCACGAACACTACGTCCCTTTGAATTTACCATTTGCCACGCCGTTCATGAGCTCCGGTGCTAGCGTATCTCCGAGTCCCAGTGTTTCCAGTTCAACCAGTCAGAATTCCTTCTTATCCGGACCACCTGCCAGCCAAGAGCGTGCAAGTACATTTGCCGAGTTATCTTCGGAGTACAGGCAACACCATTATTTAACAGGATTGGTCTTGTCCGATTTGGCCTCTGTGCTTATAGAAATGCAGAGCAACACTCTTCATTCCAAAGCGGTGGACACCGTTCGCTCTTTATTATCGTGGCACGATAGCGATCCGAGATATGCTTCTCCTAACGCCAGAAGACGAGTGGCTGCTTTGTATTTACCATTGCTCTCAGTCGCAATGGACGTACTTCCGTATCTATACCACTTCAGCAGCGACGATTCTCAAAGCACTTCGAACATCAACCAAACCGTGGCTCTGGCTATTGCTGGTGGCATCCCGAATTCTGACAATCTGATTTCCAGCAGAAAAGGAGCGATTTCCTCGGATGTCACTAGAAATCTTCTGCTCTGCGTTCTGTGGGTGTTGAAGAACGTTGAATCCGATTCCATCTCTCATTGGTTGGGTGAGCTTTCGTCCACGCGTATGGCGACTCTGCTGCATCTCCTGGACGCCTGCACCAGCTGCTTCGAATACAAGACGAGGAGACGTGCACCTGCTCATTGCGGATACGCCCATGCCCAGGTGACGCAAGACGTGAAGTCTCGATTGGAAGACATGATTTTGGGGCAAGGTTCTGCCAGAGAGATGATGCAAAGGAGGAAGGGTCAAAGCACCGAGAAGTTGCGCTGGAGGAAGGAGCAAATGGCGTACAGGCCGATGGAGAGTTCGGAAAAACCTCGAGATGAGATGAATTTTGATACGCATTTGGAAGGACACTTGGCCACCGAAGCTTCTTTCATTATTCTGGATACTTTGGAGCGGTGCGTGAATACAGTTGCTCAATGGGACAATCAACAAACTCTGATAGGCTTAGCATTAACTGTTCTCTTGCACGCTTTGGGTAAAAATCAGAGCACCACTGTTCTTCCGCACATGTTCGCATCCCAACGAAGCTTAGTTTTCAAATTCCATAGTGCTCTCTTCGACGAGGAAAGCGATCACTGCGCTGATTTGTGTTTGCTACTACTGAAACATTGCGGATCATTAATAGCTTCAGTTCGATCGCAAGCTGCTGCTTCTCTGTATCTCCTGATGAGACAAACGTTTCAAATTGGAAACAATTTTGCTCGCATCAAGATGCAAGTCACGATGTCTCTCAGTTCTCTAGTCGGAACATCGTCTTCGTTCAGCGACGATTCCTTGAGGAGATCGCTAAAGACTATTCTCGAATACGGAGAAAGAGATGCTGAACTTCAGGAGACTACATTCCCCGAGCAAGTCCGAGACCTAGTATTCAATCTGCACATGATTCTTTCGGACACGGTAAAGATGAAAGAGTTCCAGGAAGATCCGGAGATGCTTTTGGATCTTATGTACAGAATTGCCAAGGGCTACCAGAATTCACCCGATCTGCGTCTGACGTGGCTGGCGAATATGGCCCAGAAGCATATGGAAAGAGGAAACTACTGCGAGGCTGGAATGTGTTTGGTGCACTCTGCAGCTTTGGTTGCAGAATACTTGGCAATGTTGGAGCCTTTACCGCATTTACCAGCGGGAGCCGCAGCGTTGGAAAAGGTGTCACCGAATGTACTAGAGGAGAGCGCAGTTTCCGACGACGTTCTAAGTCCTGATCGCGAAGGCGGCTGCCTTGGTTTTTCAGAAGGTGGACTATTGGGACTGCTCGAACACGCTGCAAATAACCTTCACTCCGCAGCCATGTACGAACCCATGAACGACATCTACAGAGTCCTGATTCCCATCGCCGAGAACAACAACGATTTTAAGAAGCTTTCCAATATCCATGGGAAACTTCAAGATGCTTACACGCGCATCGAGCAGCTGCATGGGAAGAGAGTATTTGGAACGTACTTCCGTGTCGGTTTCTACGGTTCCAAGTTCGGCGATTTGGATAGAGAAGAGTTCGTGTACAAGGAACCGACCTTGACTAAACTGCCGGAGATCTTCAGCAGGTTGGAGAACTTTTACGCGGTGCGATTCGGCGCCGAGAACGTGATCATCATCAAGGATTCTAATTCCGTGGACGAGTCTTTGTTGGACCCGGATAAGGCCTACATCCAGATCACCTACGTCGAGCCGTACTTCGAGACTTACGAGCTTCGCTCCAGGCAGACGCATTTCGACAAGAACTACAACATCAAGAGATTCATTTATGCTACTCCGTTCACTCCTGCAGGTAGAGCGCATGGTGAACTGTACGAGCAATACAAGAGGAAGACAATCCTAACTACGGCCGTGCACTTCCCGTACGTGAAGACCAGGATCAAGGTGGTGCACCGAGTACAGATCACTCTAACTCCCATCGAGGTGGCCATCGAGGACATCCAAAAGAAAACCAAAGAGTTGGCGACCTCCACGCAGCAGGAGCCGCCAGATCCGAAGATTTTGCAGATGGTTCTGCAAGGATGCATAGGGACCACAGTGAATCAAGGACCTCTGGAGATGGCTCTCACCTTTTTATTATCAGATGGTAAACCGTTGACCAAACACCAGAACAAACTGAGGCTTTGCTTTAAAGACTTTTCCAAAAAGTGAGTTTCGCCTATGATATAATTGTACAATAAATTAATACAAATTTTGTGTAGGTGTCATGACGCCCTTAAGAAGAACAAAAATTTAATTGCGTCCGATCAAAAAGAGTACCAGAAAGAGTTGGACAGGAATTACAAGCGTTTCACGGAGAGACTGCAGCCCCTGGTCAATCCGCAAAACTTGACGGTTATGCATATTAGGTAAAGATTTGAAAGGCAAATAGTTAGTGTCACATGTAAACATGTATCTTTTTTCAGTCCACATAAGAATCGAGGCCAGGAAACTGCATTACGCTGGTAAAGTTCTTAGCAATATATACGTAGACTGCAAAGGAACACGAGTAGAGTTTACAAGGAAGAGGATTATATTTATATATATATACACATCTTTTTATAGAGGCTGCAACCATTATTTATTTTAAGTATTAATCGAGTATTTATGAATATCTACATATTTAAAGGAATTTTATGTATATGCCGTTTATTTTTTATACTAGATACAATGATAATAAATACAAAATATAATATTGATTTACATTTATAAAAAAAAAATTAATTACAATTTCGCCGAAGACCGATTTCGGACGAAAAAACTAATTATAATTTCGCCGTATCCATCCCCCATCACTGATCGAAACCGATTTCGGACGAAAAATCTTCTTCTCTCTCAGGTTCTGCCAACTGATATATCGTACTTTTTTTTGAAGTTGGTTGCAGTGGAGCACAATTTATTCAAATTGTTTTCTTTCTTAAATGCATTATTCGTCAATGATTTCTGTACTTTAGCATTGTTTTCTAGTTGAAGGGAAGATAGCTTTCAAATGAATGGAAATGATTGAATGGGGTAGTTAGATTTCGTTTTTATTTGTAATCTGGTTTGTGAAAGTGCGCATGCGTCGGCCGCAGTCACGTCGCCATCTTGTAAAGTGTCTTGTACCTGCTCCTCAGATGTAAATGTTTATCATTCCGTCAAAGTGATCGTGCGAGAAAAGGCTATAAACAGCTGTAGACTTCCGCATCTTGCGAAGCTGGAAATGTGATCGACCCGAAGAAGAGAAGTGAGTTCGACTGCTGCTGAGTGAGTGAAATAAGTGCTAGTTGCTGGTGGAATTACGAGTGAAATTTCGGCGGAATATAAAAGCACATCACATGTCCTCTACTGACAGGTGATGAAGAACATTCAGTAGGGACGATGATGATGATGATCTGTGTTTCAAGTGATAGTATAGTTTGTTAGTAAAGTCAAACATGGATTTTGCTCAGCCGCCTCCGATCGTGGGGGGCCACGCGCCACCACCTGCCAACCTCAGTATGCCCCCTCCGAACATGCCACCACCCAACTTGTCATTGCCTCCTCCAAACATTGCCAGCATGGGCAACCCGATGGGTCCCCCAGGTGGATACAACAATCCAAAGGGCGAGTACAACAAGAACTGGCCTGCTGGACAGAGACACCACTTCAGACCTTACCTTAATGTAGCTCGACCACTCCCAGGTCCACTCGGCAATATGACTTTGGAGGATTTTGATGGCAAGAGGTTGCGAAAAAGTGTGATGAGAAAGACTGTAGATTATAATTCCTCGATTATTAAAGCTCTCGAAGTAAGTTGCACCAAATATAACCTTAATATAGATTTTATTTTTCTAAATTGATCATACGTTTCGCAAACAATATTTAAAGTTAAATTCAACAGTTGCAAATTGACTGTAGGTCTTTCTACATGAATTGATTAATTAATTTAAATTTACAATTACGGAATATTATTATTTTAAGAGCAGAAATACCCATTTCTTATGTTATTTTGTTGATAAATTGTTGCTATGATTTTAATTATATATCAGCATAATATTTAATTGTAATGAGAAATATCAAACAGAATGTGATAATTCAAATCATAATAATAATAATCTTTATAGCATCAATAAATTACCAAAATATAATAACAAAAATTAAATTAAACTATTGCAAAGGTCTATTGACCATAGGTCTTTCTACCTGACAATATGTAATTATCGAATATTATATATTAGTTTTGTGACAATTTATGTTTTTTGTGTCTCTGGGCGGAAAGACTTAAGTCGATATCCCTTTGGTTGCATTGTAACTAATAAATATTCTTATTTAATTTTAATGAGAAATGACATATTAATTTTGTATGTTTCATATTAATTTGTAATAATTACATAATACAAAATCTTTTATGTTTTGCAATGATATTATTCTTTTAGATATACAGTGTCTTATCGTTGTTTGTTTTTTGTGTTGCATTGCAGAATCGAGTTTGGCAGAGAGATTTCAGGGATCGGAGAGCCCTGCAGCCGGACGTTATGTATTATCCGGACCTCATGCCGCCTCCCAGTTACCCCGACAATCCGATAAATTGTGTGACCACTAGATTCGTGAAGACGGCCACGAATAAGATGAGATGTCCGATATTCTGTATGGCCTGGACACCGGAGGGCAGACGATTGGTGACCGGTGCAAGCTCCGGCGAGTTCACATTGTGGAACGGACTCACGTTCAACTTTGAAACTATCCTCCAAGTAAGTTACATTTTTTTTTTGTTAACACTTAAATAGTTGTAAATAATACTATATCAATACAAGTTTGTGGACAATTCGTATGAACACAATCATAATTAGAGACTTAACAAAGTCTCAAAATTTCAAGTCATTCATTTTAAGAAAGACTTGATTTATTACATTTTTGTAATTATACAATAACAATGAACCATTTAACTTTCTTATCAGCGCAACAGAATAGTAATTAAAAACCGGAAAGAATTCGAAACTTTAAGCAGCAATCCTGAACATTGTAGATTGCATTTTCATTCAACTTTCTATTTACTGTTTAGAATCTAATTTATTTTTAAAGTACACTCACTCTCACGATTTTGACATCAAAAGTATTGTTTAACAGTTTTCTTACATATAGTCAATCACTTTTCGAATTCTTTATTAAATATTTCTTCAATGCAGAAATGTGAGATAGAGTGAAAACTTCTTACTAAGATTCGTTGACATCTCAACATTTATTTCTTTAATGATTGAGCCTATCAATTGTTGTATGTCTAAGATGGTATTTTCGTACTACTTTGTATTAATGCATATCTTTTGCAACGTTTTTTTTTCTTTCTTTCTTCATATTTCAGGCCCACGACAGTCCGGTGCGAACGATGGTGTGGTCCCACAACGACAGCTGGATGGTGACAGGAGACCACGCTGGTTACGTCAAGTACTGGCAGTCGAACATGAACAATGTGAAAATGTTCCAAGCGCATAAAGAGGCCCTCCGCGGAATAAGGTATCTACAAATTGACTACGTTTTTCTCCATCTTGTATATAGTTTAATATTAATGCGAATAATAATAACATCAGCAGTTTTAATAAATGGCACCCTCCCATTTCCCTTCTCATTCAACGAAACATATTGCTGATAAATATACCATGATGATGATGATGATGATAATAATAATAAAGATAAAGAAATAATAATAGCAATAGCAATAGTGGCGTTTGTTTTTTAATAAACTTGCACCGAATTTTGTTTTTCTTTTTGTTTTGTTGATTGACGATGGTGACATGAAAGCATCAAAGAATTCATCATGAGAAAAATCTTTTATTTTTAATTTTTTGATTTTTTTCTATATATATATTTATTTTTTATTTTATTTTTATTTTTTTTGGATTATTATATCTGTGATGGAACATGCTTTATTATAATTGTACCGTGTATAAAAAGGAACACAAAAGAAAAAAAGTACCAAAGAAATATATTATGAATGATGATTATGATGATGAATATGATGAGAAATCTAAGAATTATGATCTCGTTGGAAAATAAATTTGTTTATTTTTTACATTTCAAAAGGGACACTTTTCCAAGTTTCTTTATAGACACACCGCCACCGCTCTTCCTGCGATTGTTGCGTGTAGGCCTGTGTACCGTATGGACAGAGCGAGTCATCGTGTCTCGAAAGATACCTGGACAAGTATTTTTTATTATTTATTTTACTTCTCTCTCTCTCACTCACACACACTACATATCACACACAAAAACACATTCTCTCTCTCTCTCTCTCACTCGATCCTTTCGGAAGACACGGTGGTATCTCTTGTATCTCTAACAACGATTGCAATAAAGATCCCAAACTGATCCCTATACACAAAAGCAGAATAATAAACGATATATTATTATCTCTCGTTTTCAAATGATTTTCGTTGTTATTTTTCTGTTCGACTTTTCAGTGCCATTTTGATTTAGTTTTCATTATTCGATTTAATTTTTATAGAAAGAAAAAAAAATAGAAAATTACTTTAATTTTTCGGAGATAACCTGATTTGTTTGTTATTATTTACGGATTTTTGTTTTTTTATGTTTTTTGTTTGTTTATTTTCTTATTGGGATGTACGATGATTGTGTGTGTTAATATAGCTTCAGCCCGACGGATAGCAAATTTGTAACCTGTTCAGATGACGGGACGCTCCGCATTTGGGATTTCTTCAGGTACCAAGAGGAGAAGGTTCTGCGAGGTAAGTTGTGACGATTTTTACGATTAATACGCGAGCATGTGCATAGTGCGTGCATGTGTTGTGTACCGTGTTCTCATGCGGGGGGTTTTCAGGTCACGGGGCGGACGTGAAGTGCGTCCATTGGCATCCGCAGAAGGGGCTGATCATCTCCGGCAGCAAGGACAACCAGCAACCAATCAAACTGTGGGATCCGAAGAGTGGGCAGTCTCTGGCGACGTTGCACGCCCACAAGTCGACGGTGATGGATCTGAAGTGGAACGATAATGGTAACTGGTTGATCACTGCGTCGAGAGACCATCTGCTCAAGTTGTTCGATCTGAGGAATCTCGGACAGGAGGTCCAAACGTTCAGAGGTCACAAGAAGGAAGCGTCGAGCGTAGCTTGGCATCCGCATCACGAGGGACTCTTCTGCAGTGGAGGATCTGACGGATCCATCATGTTTTGGCATGTCGGGTAATAACGAATTTCTCTTAACTTAACGAGTAACAGAACGTAAACTGAACATTCCCATTTGCAGAGCTGACAAGGAGGTTGGTGCGATCGAGCAGGCCCATGACAGCATAGTATGGACGTTGGCTTGGCATCCGCTCGGACATATTCTCTGTTCCGGATCGAATGATCATACCAGCAAGTTTTGGACGAGAAACAGACCCGGAGACCAGATGAGAGATAAATACAATTTGAACACTTTGCCACCGGGAGTCGCTGGAGCCGAGGACATTGACATTGGTAATGTTTCACATTTTGATATGATATGAATTTCGAACAATTTTAATTTGATGATCTTGCGTTTGCGTGTGCAGATGAACCGTCAGTAATTCCGGGAATGGGACCAGAGGATAAAGTGGAGTCTTTGGATCCCGATGATTCTGACCTTCCGGGCAGTGTTTCGATGGAAATTCCCGGATTAGATTTGGACCCGAATTCGAACGAGGACAAGAAGGCGAAGAAGGTGCCCTACAGTAAGCCAATTCCACGAAACTTCCAAGCGCAATGGAACGAAACTGGTATGTCATCTGAAACGAGCGTTTCATATTTATTTACGAGATTTTTTTACATATTTTATCGTTTTCTTTTTCGTTTTCTCAGCAGATGAAGAGTCGGCAATTAACGAAGTCATATCGCAGATTGTCGAAAACACACCCGGCGTAGTTCCGTTGCAAAAGATCACTCCGAACGCTATCATAATATATGGAAAGTTGATTCCTGTGGAAGCGGGATCAAAGTTGGAGCAGGCTATAAACGACGGTCCCGAGGCGTTGCAGAAGTTCATCGATTCAGGCCAGATCGAGGAGCTGCACGATGTGATGCCTCACGACGATGAGCACGATTACTTGAACGACGCATACGTCGACGAAGAGGCGGAGGATGAGAACATGGATGTGAAGCGTGTACCGACGCCGCCGATCTGGGATAAACCGCCCGGTTGTGATCAATCGTCTTCGGGTAGTATAGACCAAGATATGAGGCCCTCCTTTATACCACCTCCGGATTTAGATATGAGAAACCGAGGGGAGATGGATTACCGAGGAGCACCTCCGGATTTCATGTACAACGAGGGCGGCGGTTTCAACTCGTCCAGGTACGATGACGAAGACGATGATTACATGGACAACCGAAACTTCCAAAGAAACGGCGGAAACTTCAACAACCAGTTCGGAAGGAACGGAGGACCTCCGATGAACTTCCCGCCCAACTATAACAGGGGAGGCGGCGGCGGCGGTGGAGGAGGCGGTGGCGACGGAGGTAACTTTAACAATCGCAACTTCCGGCCGGACATGGGACCGAACAGGGGACCTCCGTCCTCCTCGAATAGCGATTTTAGGCCGCGCGGCGGTAACAGCAACAATCGCGGTCCACCGATGCGCAACATGCGTGGACCCCCAAATTCGAGGGGAGGACGTGCTATGCCGCACCGAATGCGGGGCGGTCCAAATATGGGTCCGAGGATGAACAGAGGGCAACCACCAAACAGGAGGATCTTCTGAACATTGCTTAAGTGATTGTGATGCGAGTGAGAGATGGGCGAAAGAGACAGAGGGGGGTGAGCTTGGTGGAATTGAAACAAAGGTGCACCAAAACTTTTTACGATGGTTTATGATATTTTTTTTTTTCGATAATATTCTTTTTCAATTGTGTATAAATGATAACAAATTATTTTGAAATAAAACATGAAAAAGTGAACTGCCACCAAAATCCCAATATAGTCCTTATTTCTTCTATAACTTCTACCCTTTGGGATATTAGGAGTATCAAGAAAAGGGAATTATTAAATTGAAAAAAAGAGTAAAATAAAATATAAACTAAATTTATTAAAATTCTCTTATAAATTACAAATTAAAAAAAAACTCATTGGAAATCACATATATGTATACATATATATATCTGTAAATAGATTTGTGTTTTAGATATTTACAAGTACTACATGTTACAGGGCGGGAGTTCAGAAAATATCTAGTTTTTGTTGTTACTTCATCGCATCGCTTGCCTCTACTATCTTCCTTCTCCAGTTCTGTGATATTACGACGACACATCTCGCATTCTCCTGAACAACAACAACAACAGTCAGTGAAACCCTTAATAACGCGTACCGATTATTTTAATAACTCATGTGCGAGAAATAGTCTTGGAACAGTTGAACGTAAAACTCCTTCTCGGTCTGCGACATTTGCGCAATTATCGTGTCGTTGATGTCCGTTATGGCGTACGTCCTGTTGCCTACCGTGACCACAGGGACGTTGGAATCGTCCTCCTCGTCGCTATCCATCGTCTCCACTTCGACCAGATCATCCTTGACTTCGGCCATCATTTCGTCCGAACTCGAATCAGATTCGTTCGGCAAACCTTTGACGGCGTTTGCAGCGGCTGTGTTTGTCGCCTTCTTCTCGTGTGCCAGAAGCACGCTCATGATATCGTCGTTCTTTCCAGCTGTCGAATCAATCTCTTCAGTGATTGTTTCGGTGACTTTCGAGTCGAGAACGTTGTCCGTATTTGTGATGACCGTAGATTCAGACATCCAAATCGGTTGCTCCTTCCTGCTGACAACGTTCGCGTTAGCATTATCATCACCGATGGTAACGTCCACTCTCGTCTCTTCGACGGCAAATCCAGCATTCCTTGTTGCTTCTCCGGACCAGGTTTCCCCGCCGTTGTGCAGGAATTTCTTGTCCAATCCCCTGATCGTACTGATATCGACCGGTTCCGGTTCGAGTACTTCTGGCGCCAACTTGATGCCTTCGACCTCTCTCAACAGTATATACAGAGGCTCCAACTGCTCATTGAATTTAGCCAGCAGTAGTCTCGAATCCTTCTTTGGCATGGCAGATTGATCCTCCTCCACGACCTCCTTGCAGTAAGTGCACCGAAACTCGCTCGTCATAAAATCAAAGAGCTGATCTGCTTCCAGATCTGTGAAAGTCTTCAAACAATTTGGGCATTTGAAGCTGGCCCTGCTTGTGGCATCCCTCTCCTCAGTCTCCAGTCTCTTCCTCATCAAATCCAACTTGTATTTGACCACATTGACGAAGCTTTTGTAGTTTATGAAATAGTAATTCACTTTCTGTGCTTTACCATCAAATCCTGTTTCCATCCTCAATCTGACTTGAATAAATTTATCATTTTTCAACGTGGATATTTTCGCTCTCAGCATTTTCCTCTCGAACTTCAAAAGCTCACAGATATCGTCTTCCTTCATGCAGGGATTCCTCACCAGCATGTCCACAATCAAGGCATCTTCTATGCAGTAAAAACCCCTGACCACCAAACGGGCCAACTGCTTTAAACTGCTGGGAACTTCCGTCACTAGCCTCTCCTCGGTCATCTAGTAAGAAAATTAATTAATTCGTATTAAAATAACGAAAAAAACAAACAAACAATATCAATGGTAACAGTACATACCTTGGTTAGCTATACGTTTTGTAGGTTATGTTATTGTCATTAGCGCTTGTCAACAATAGAAAAAAAAAGTAGTTTCTTTCGCACTTGTCGCCAACAACAGCAAACACTTTTTAAATTGCAATCATTTATTGTTTAGTTTGGTTAAATGCACGAAAAATTATAGCATTTTTCGCATATATTTATAGACCAGTGTCAAAGTGACAAATTTAAATGAGCATAGCTCGTAGTCGCTTGCTACGGTGGTAAACACTTGGAAAAGTGCAACGTCGCTTATTACAACATTTCATATTTTAATTATTGAAAATCGCAGATTTTTAACTGTTAATAACAGAATAAAGGTAAGTTGTGGATTAAAATGAATTAAAATGTAAGGTTTTAAGTGTTCTGTACTGGTTCGTAGTGCGTAGCTGGTGCGCTTTCGGACGTTGCGCACAGTGTTGCCAACAGTTGTATTATCCTTCGTAGCAGGTAGTGTACAGTCGTTCTTAAAATTTTGAAGTTTTGTCCTGGGGTAGAGAGAAGAGTGGCGTTCAATTTTTTAAAATAAGAAAAAAATAAAAAACGAAATGGCTAATGTTGGAAACCAATTGGACGTATTCGGTCGTTCGTTCGTGTAGTGTGCAGTGATCACGCAGTAGGCAGATAGAGAGAGAGTGAGAGAGAGAGAAACTGAATGGTTCAAATGAAAATAGAGACTTGCATTTTCCTGACAAGAACAGATGCTTTTACCTAGTGATTCTCAATTAGATCTCGAACAGGAGGAGCAGTCGTCGAGCTGTGCGCGATTGAGAGGATGAGTGGGAACCCAGAGGATGAGAAGCATGAAGCAGGAAAGAGCTACCCCCTGGACTTGGCCCCAAAGCTGACCACCATGAAGACAGTCGATGGAAAAGCTATCCTACCGGGACAGTCCTTCAGGAGTGTGAGGGTGCTCACGAATGCAGGCAGTCAGAGCTCCTCCGCAGCATCTACAATCATCAGCACTAATATGGTGCCACAGGCAGCTGTTATCAAGCAGGGTGAGTTTCTGCATCGCATCTTTACATCATTTAGCATAATCAGAATCAAATAAGATGCCAATAAAAAGCCCAAAACCATCTATTTGCAGAAGACGAAAAGTTAATTATTAGGATTCAACAATTTGATTTTATCTTCATCTTTTTTTTTGTTAATTAAATTTAGAGCTTTGTTCCCTCCAAATTGGATCATATGATAGGGTGAAGCAACACCCGTTATGAGAAAAGGACACAACCGCAAATACATCGAAACGTTCATCGCACACATCGCATCGTCCTACAACAATTTCGTTCCCTCATCTTTTGCATTCGCACAGAATTGTTGTTTATCATTTCACATGTCATGTTGCTTGGTTCTATTTCGGTGAAGTTCCACGCTTCGAATCCAGATGGCCATGTTTTTAAATGTTACGCGATGGACGAAAGAAGAGAGAAAAAAAAAATGAGAGAAATACGTATTTAAAACGTACGAAAGAAATTAAGGTTAGGATGTTGTTTTTCTCTGTTTGCATCTTCGAATCATCATCATCATCGTATGCTGATTCAATTGACTGTTGAAGTCTCATTGCCTGCCTGCCTGTCTGTTTAGAACCACACAAAAAAAAAAAATGGAAACTGTTTCATTTCATTATTATTGTTAAGCGGGTCAACTATTAGGGCTATAATTATTTGACCTACTCTGTGGCACATCTGCATCAATTTGAAAAGAAAAGGAGAAATAAAATAATGTACACTCATTCAAGTTTCCAGACACTTCTATTTTTGCCCCATTTCAGTTATTCTAAAATTAAATGAAACTAAAAATACTGCACACTACTGTTTACTTATCACTTTCTACTTAATACAAGTATTTGTAATTTTCCAATTAGAGTTAATAAAATAAGTATGTTTATTGATTTTGTTTTGTTGTAGGTCAAAACCAATCGCAGGCGTCAGGGAATTTAACAATTAGCAGACAAGCAACGAGTTTACCGGTGGTTTGTCAGAGCGCCCCAGCTGGTACCACATATCATGTGCCCAGAGGAGCTGCAGTTGTTGCAAATTTGTCTGCTCCAAGAAGCAACGTTGTGGCAGCAATCAGAGCACCGCTGGTCGTTACAGCGCAAAATTCGGCTCAAGTAAGTATAAATCGAACGGTGAGAAAAGAGAAAAAAATGTTTTACTAAAATGTACGACGATTGATTGCGTTTTGCAGAATTTTGTGCGACCCCCGAGAACCCCGAGTCCGGCCCAAGGAGGAGGAACCTGGTTGACGAACTCTTCGAATGGATCGCAGATCAAAGGCACGATCAATTCGCCAATCAGGGCAGCTGCTGGAAAATCGCAATTGGTGGCCAGACCTCAAGTTGTGTCCACCATTCGTCCGCCGACGGCTATTCTCCATTCGACCATCATCGGTCAAGGGCAGGTAAGATCCGCCCCATCAACATCTCGAAGATTTTGATTTTATAAAAATATGTTTCGTTGCAGTTGCATACATTCAAGACCAGCCAAGGAACGCCTGCAATTCAAACGTTGAATGCGGTGACCTTAGCCCAGGTCTTACCCAGCCGCACGCAGACCCTGGTCTACAGCACCGGGAATACAACCCATTTTGCGGCTACTCCTCGGATAACAATAGCCACGACGGTGACCACGCAAAGACAACAGACTACAACAGCCAAACCAATGGTATGTTCATTATTCCAAAAATTAAAAAAAATGTTAAGTTTTATCTACAAGCAATATTGATGCAAATCGAAAGGTGTGTGGGCGTTCAGACGCACTAAGAGACTAATTCGTTATATCAATCAATAATGAATGAAATGTGAAATGAGTTGTGTTCAGTATACAATCCACCCCCGATTTTATTGTGCGGAAATGTGTATTAATTGAACGAAGGCGCAGGTGACGGCGACGAGGTTGGCTGTCCCAGTGAATGTGACGCAAACCACCAGCAGGTTGGTGGCACCGCAGGCCGCGATGTTGTCGGCCGCAGGAACGAGGATATCGGCGGTAACAGCGACTTCGCAGCAACCGGCGACGGTACTAGGTGCTACCCCGACGAGAATCCTTTCGACGACACCCACCAACGTCTCCCTGAACAGGCTGACCATGGCCGTAACGAATCCCCCGACCACCAGTAACAATGCGGTCCTGAATCAGATCAGATCGACGTTGGCGTATCCCATTATCGCCGCCACTAATAGCTCGCAGAATCGGACGTTGCCCGCCCAAGCTAAAGTCATCACACCCAACCAAGGTAACATTAACATTAAGCCCTTAAAATGAGACTATGAGTGTAATCGTTTGTGTACGACGATTTTAGGTACGGCAATACATTTGACCCAAATTCCGCCGACGCTGAAGTCCAACATTATCACGACTACGGCAAGAACAAGTGAGTTTTAAAAGCTAATTTGTCAATTGGTAATAGAAATGTTGCAAAGCTGTCTATAATATAAATCATAAATACCTTTTTTTAAATAATTATTATTATTTAAATTGTAGTTAGTGCTCAGTCTGCAACAATCGTAGCCCAGAGACCTGGATCCGTGGTGACTTCTCACCCGATACCCATAGCCAAGGTGTTTCCTCAGCAAGGAGATGGACAGCAACAACAGGTCATGCCGCCCACCAACTTGTATATCCAAGGACCGGTGTCTTCCGTCCCTCGCAGATCGTCGCCAGGTAAGTCACTGCCAGTAAACGCTAATTGCCACAGTTAGATAACGTTAAAAACTGATTAAATGTGTGTGTGCATTGATAAGCGTTCAGCGCATTCGTTATCATTTCTGTATTTGTGGTTTTTCAATTTCTTGCTGCAAGATCGCGTTGGCCCTAGATTTTGTATGCGCTAAACAATGGACGTTTGTGTGTTTGTTTTGTGACAGGTCCTACGAGTTTGAATCAGACGAGTAGCTCAGCTCCAGCGACTACAGTTGCTACATACTCGTTGGCTGGAGGCACGTACATCTACGACACATCCTCTGGCAATTACTCCTCGGTGTCCAGGTCCTTCAATCCTCAGCAACACACGTCCTTCGTGATATCGCAACCGACGAACCAGCAGCAACAGCAGCGGCAGAACCCAGTGCACGGTAACCATGGCAAATTTTAATTATCAACATTATTAAGCTAACTTGCTAAGTGACACTCGTACACAATACTACTATTTATTATTATTATTACTACTACTACTTGACAAGTATAATAACGTATAATTTGCATTTTTTGTTTTTAGCCGAGCTTGTAACCAATTCGATGAGGTTCAACTCGATCATTCTGGAGCAGGGCAGGAGCTCCGCTTTTGCCCAAGAGAGCTCGCAGGACTTTCAGTCGCTTCATACGCCGACGAAGGTAACTTCCTCGCCGCGGCCCAGTATACTGAGGAAACGTGATCACGATGGGTCACCCATGAAGGCGGCCAAAAATTTGATCTCTGCTCTTTCGAATTTACAGCAGCAATCACCGGTCTCGCCTCTGTCGCGGCCCGACTCGCGGAACAACGGACATAGCTCAGGTCAGTGCCCAAATTTATGCGTCCAAAATACTTGCTGCGATTGTCAATACGAAATAATATATATGAAAATTATTAATAATCAATGCGAAAGTGAGTGTATGAATTAATTGTTTTTTTTTTCAAATACCTTTTAGGTGGTAGTACAACGATATCCGCAACTTCAAGTCCCGGTTTGGCGGACGGCAACGACGACAGTATGCCGCACGTGCCTATGAATAAGGATGAGGAGGAGAATCGACCGCCGTTGGAAATGAGTCCCAGGAAGAAACCGCGAAAGCAAAATTTGTAAGTTGAAATATGAAATTTTTATTGCAAATATTTGCAAGTTTGATGGCATTCCTTTGTTCGTTATGTAGGACCGGAAATGATTTGGACGAGAACAATGATGATATGCAGTTCATTTCCGAACGGGATATGAAGAAGCCGGATCCCGATGATTCCGATGGTATTATGTCCGATGGGCCGCAGGACGGTGCTCCGGAGGCTAGAAGGGTGACGACGGTACGTAAGCCGGCTTCTGCAAGTCTTCTCAACAGCTACAAGCAGACATGGAAGTCAACGCATAACCACTACCTGAGACATTCCGATGTCCGGCCCAAGGATGAAAGGAAACCAACGATAATGGATTTGGCCAATCAGCATCGAGTTCTAGACAAGGTCAACGGTTGGAAGATCCATCATCTGTCCACGCAAATGGATGATCTGGTAAGTTTCTGAGAAAAAAAAAAGTTTTCAAATAAATTATATTACATATTTTATTTGCAGGCTCAACAGGAGCATATGGTTCACAACCAGTTGACGGAATTACTGAAGTTCAGCGAGTCCCGAGATCAATGCAGCGAAATCAATTCCATCACTGAACTGATTAAGGTGAGCTATTCAAATTATAGCTAATAAAATACGAAAATTATTAAGTAATTGTGTTGTTGTTGTTGCAGGGTAATTTGCAGAGAATCAAAATAATAAACGACGGCATGATCGACGCGAAGACTCAGATAATGAAAATCTTCGATCACAAGACTCACGTGGCGGACATCATAAGCCGATGTGCCAGTAAGCGCAACTACAAGAAACGCGAAAAATCTTAAGAAAATGATTAATCTTATCGAAGCAAAGCAGATTTATATGAATATATGATGACTATTACATATTATTATATATATTATTTACAGATATTTTTAATGATTGTTATTTTTTTATACGATTCTTGTTTTAACATTGTGTGTGTATTTTATCGGAGGAGGAAGAGTGGAGATGAGAGAACATCGTCGGATCGTCCAAGTTTATGGATTTATTGTTTTAATTGTCAACTTATTATTATGGCCGGTATCGCGAAAAAGGTGGAAAAATTATAAAGTGATTTGTACATTGTTCTTCTATTTGATATTTTTTATTATTATTTTTATGAGAAAAGGAAATCAGACTTAAATTATTCTGTATATAGAAACGATTTTGTAAAATTGAATAAAAACAAATATGATAAGAGGGGAAAGGAGACCATAAAAGAAGCAGCAGTAAAAATTTAATTCTTTACTCATTTATTTGTATAATTGTATTTATTTTCTCTACGACGATTATATTTATACATAAAATGGAAGAAAAAAAAACAATATTGCATGTTGCATCAGACTTTGTTGTTAGGTCTTTAAATTTGAACATACATGAAAGAGAGACAGAATGTAACACGTGTTTACGTATATAATTGTAATTAATCATTGTTATTTTGTTGTAATAATACTTATTGCTACTTCCTTCTTTTAATGTAAATGTAAATTTTGTACAAATTGTATTAAAAAAGAGAAGAAACGAAAATAATTCAAAAGATGTTTATTTTTGAAAATTGGCGACGTCTGTTCGTCGCTTTTACACGCGCCACTACGACGTCCAGTAGCAGCGCATCTGATATGGAGGTCCAAATTCACATTTTTTCCAATTTCTACAGCTCATAACAGGCGACTCGATGACAGCACGAAGATGCCAGTAGGCTCGTTGGAAAGGTGACACATTCAGCTTTCATACGAGTGATCAATGATGTAATTATCTTCAGGAGTTGTCGAGAAATTCACGAAAAACTGAAAAAAAATCGAAAAAAACGTCGTTTCACTGTTACGTAACGAACATTACGTAACTTTTGTTACATAAAAAGTTGCGCAACGCTTGCATGCATCTAATTATGCAATAAAATCATAAAATAGTTTATTACTTTTCGAGTTATTAACGAAAAACTAAAAAACATCCATTTTTTGACAAATTCTATTCACCTTTTTCCAATTTTGAATAGCTCATAGCAGGTGATTCGGCAGCAGTACGAAGATTGTCATAGGCTCATTGGAAAGGTGAATCTTCAGCTTTAATTACGAGTGGTCGATGATGTAATTATCTTCAGGGGTTTGTCGAGAAATTCATCGAAAAACTGAAAAAAATCGAAAAAAACGTCGTTTCACTGTTACGTAACGAACATTACGTAACTTTTGTTACATAAAAAGTTGCGCAACGCTTGCGTGCATCTTATTATGCAATAAA